GGACTTTGAGTTCCTGCATTCAAGTCTGAGAGGCTATGAGGCGGCTGCTCGGAGGAGCCACACGGTCGCTGTGCTGAGTTTGTCCTTCAGCTAGTCAGCCCGCCTTCCTTCCTTTCTGCACCAGAATTTAAGCTCCATGAGGTCAGGGGTCTATATGCACCCCCACAGGCCTGGGAGTGGAACTTAGAGACATTTGTGCATCGGTTTAGCCTCTGTGGCCAGAGGAGCCCCATGTCTCCCTCTCCTGCTTCAGGGATATTTGCATTCAAGTGCTCCCGGGCCGAGGAGATCTTCAACCTCCTTCAGGACCTGATGCAGTGCAACAGCATCAACGTGACGGAAGAGCCAGTCATCATCACCCGCAACAGCCACCCGGCCGAGCTCGACCTCCCGCGGGCCCCACAGCCTCCCAACGGTGAGGAGACCCCATCCTCGGCCCCCCACCGCACATGCACACACACCTGTACACACACATGCATGCACACACACCTGTACACACACATGCATGCACACACACATACACACAGAAGCACCAGTGTGGGGGACCCAAGTCAGACAGGTGGGTGGGGGATGCCTGGGTGAGCCAGCCTTCCAGGCCCGGCAACCGACCACCATCAGAACCACGCGGGGATGGGTGAGGCCTGGCCTAGGCCGGTCAGATGACTCCCAGCTGAGCCTGGGGAGTCCTGCAACTCTTCTCGACTGATGGTCAGGGTGCAGACGTTGGGTTTCCATGGAAACAGCAGTCTGGAGCCTTTTTGCTTCCTTCCTTCCATCTACTGGGTCACACCCATATACCTTCCTGATGGATGGTGCAGGCATCTCTACCATGACCAGCGTTTGGAGAGGTTCTCACAGCTCCTGCTGGTTCATTCTCTGGTCCGCACTGAGCACCTGCTCTGTGTGCTGCACGCATGGCTGGTGGGTAGGGGCAGGAAAATGGAAGCCGTCCTGCTTTCAAGGAGCCTCCCTTGAGCTCTTCGGCCGAGCTAGAACGAGGCAAAGGGACAGGCCAATGATGACAAGCGTTTTAGGGAAGGATTGATCGGGGAAGTCACAGCGTTCACGCTGCGCTTTGAGGGAGAGGATGTGAAGCACAGAGAGGGGAGAGAGTGGGGGCTGCTGGTGCAGGAGGCTGATTGCTTGGAGGCCTGGGGGGAGTCCCAGGGTGCTGCCCACGCGGTGTCAGGTGGTTGCAGGACCCTTCACCTGGGCTTGTCTTCTCTGTGCCCAGCTCTAGGCTACAGTGTCTCCAGCTTCTCCAACGGCTTCCCTGGATGCCCAGGAGAGGGCCCCAGATTCTCGGCACCCCGGCGCCCCTCCACAAGCAGCCTTCGACACCCCTCACTGGGAGAGGAGTCCACCCACGCCCTCATTGCCCCCGATGAGCAGGTGAGCAAGCGACTGACCCACCCCTCTCTCTTGGTCTGGGTGGGAACGGAGGTCGGGAAATACGGCACCTTCCCAGTAAGAGTCATGGCAGGAAGAAAATCTCTAGGGTCCCTTCCGGTTCCCAGAAAGGGAGGCAGCTGCCCTGGAAGGTTTGGAGGACCAGGACGAGGCGAAAACTCTAGCTCCTTCCCCCGTGCAACTCGTCTCTCAACCTCCTGTCCCTTCTGCTCTCCTTCCTCCTGCCCTGGGACCTTCCTGCCTCAATGGGACCCTTCCCCCCAGTCCCACACTTACGTCAACACGCCGGCCAGCGAGGAGGACCCCCGCCGGAGCCGGCACTGCCTGCAGCCGCTGCCCGAGGGGCGGGCACCCTTCCCCCCGCGGGCCCCAGGCCCTGACCATCGGGACCCGCAGGTGTTCTGGCAGCCGGGCCAGGTGAAGTTCGTGTTGGGTCCCACGCCCGCGCGGCGGCACATGATGAAGTGCCAGGGCGTCTGCCCCAGCCTTCGAGACGCCGCACACCACAACAACAACGAGGGCCCTTCTGAGTGCCCGGCCCAGCCCAAGTGCACCTATGAGAATGTCAGCGGGGGGCTGAGGCCGGGGGCCAGCTGGAGACTGAGCCCCGAGGAACCAGGCTGGAACGGCCTTGCCCACCGCCGGGCTGCCCTGCTGCACTATGAGAACCTGCCCTCCCTGCCCCCCGTGTGGGAAAGCCATGCCCAGCACCTGGGGGAGGAGGCCGGGGATGACGGGGACTCCAGGGACGGGCTCACACCCTCCTCCAATGGCTTCCCTGACGGCGAGGAGGACGAGACCCCCCTGCAGAAGCCCACCAGCACCCGGGCCGCCCTCCGCAGCCACAGCAGCTTCCCCGTGCCTCTGACGCGCTGCCGCGGCTCCCCACGGGTCTTCAACTTCGATTTCCGCCGGCCGGGCCCCGAGCCGCCGAGGCAGCTTAACTACATCCAGGTGGAGCTGAAGGGCTGGGGTGGAGACCACCCCAAGGGGCCCCAGAATCCCACGACCCCCCAGACCCCCCTGCCCACCACCCACCCTGCCCGCAGCTCAGACTCCTACGCCGTGATTGACCTCAAAAAGACCGCGGCCATGTCCAACCTGCAGAGGGCTCTGCCCCGGGACGATGGCACCGCCCGGAAAACCCGGCACAACAGCACTGACCTGCCTCTGTAGGGGCCTCCTGCTCCACCCACGCCTGTCCTCCGAACCCACACACCAGGGTTCAGGGGTGCTCTGCAGAAGGCACTGAGGTGGGGCCAGATGCCTCCCCGCGCTGGCCGGAGTCCCCAAAGACACCAGCCACTGAGGCCTGGTCTCCCAGCGGGGAGAGGAGGTGACCAGGTGAGGAGGGAGCCGCGATGGAAACTGTGAAGGGCCCTGTGACTGCATTTAGCGCCCTCCCTTACGTCCATTTGTCTTGTCTGTCATCTGTGTATTTTTTTGGTTGAAATTTTGAAACATTTTGTACCTGTTGGTTTTATTTATCAGTTTATTTTTCTATTTATTGTTTCAAATGTAATTTAACATATTTATTATTAATATAATTATTTTTAAATTCTGGCTTGGTGAAGGGTGTCAGATGCTGAGGGAGTCTTTTCTGGGATGGTTCTGGGGCGGGTAGAGGAGGCCTGAGAGAGGCCGGGGCTTCATACTGGGCAGTTTGGGGTGGTGGGGGGTGGGTGGTTTCTGTGATAAGTCTTTCACCGTTTCCTTTTCTCTTCCAAGAAGCCTCTCCCACAACTTAGAGTTGCCGGCGGTGGGTGCTCCGTCACAGTCAGGTCCCAGAGGCAGAGGGGGGTTG